TAAACGATGTGACAAGGTTTAAATTATAATTAAATCTAAGTCGACAAAATTTTGTTATCAATTTTCTATTTAAATTTAAGATTATGAAACTAGGAATGTAAAATTGTTACATGGTATATATTTTGACATAAGTTTCGGAAGTGATCAATATTTTTATTTAAATTATTTTTGAGTGACTATACATATTATATTTCTGGTACATAAGAGTCGCTAATTTTGAAAGTGAAGGGGCTAAACACTTTCAAATTATTTTTATTATTAAACTTTCAAAAAAGTTTCTATATTATTAAATAAAGGGACATAAAATATTGAAGTCATAGGATTATATACCTAAAATGTTTTCAAACGGTATCAATGTAAAGGATGTCGTGTCTGCAATAATGGCATTGCAGATTCGAGTTAATTTATGCCTTATATAATATACATTATACATTATGCGATGGCGTCTAGACGGATATCAAGTTGAATTAATAGTTTTCCGTGATTATAATTTATTATAATAATAAAATGTAATAAACAACAAAGAGGATGGGCATATAAATTTCCAAGATTTATTATCAATCCTAATCAACGACACCTTTATCAAAAAAAGCTTCTTCTTCGTTTTTATGCAACAATGATATAATATACTTGGAACGTATTTTCTCACCTAGAGGTAATAGTTTACAAGTATATCACTATATTACAAAAACAACCGTCAACGACAGCGGCATGCCGTACTCACAAAGGAAGTGGAAAGGTATAAGTGGCGGATCAAAAAAAAAAAAATTACCGTCAGCTTGAATTATGCGCGTTTGGCTACGATAAACACTATGCTGGCGAAACAACAACTATAACACGACGGTCTAAGTCGTCGGGTTAGCTAGGGTCGCTCATTTACATGAGTATTTTATTATTGCGTACATTATGTTATTATCGAGAGCACACTAACACTTGCTTAATGCAGCTGTGTACTAAGAACCAAGGAAGTTTATCGGGGCCAAGGGGATACCAACCTCCTACGACTATGACACCTATCGAGGGGGTCTGCACACACATTACCGGCATGCAACATACGTTATCGAGATGAACTGGTTTGAGGCAACGAAAAAATCAAAAGTTTTATTTGTTATTTCCAGGTATTTTATCGACCAGTTTAGTGGGCGAAAAGGCTTATGAAATCGCGCAGTACTACTGTCACTTGTATTCAATACTATTATTGAACTAATCGACAGTTTCCATTTTTCTAATTATATTCGTGTTAGTGATGAGCAGAATTACTCTTGTTCTTGCGGTCTTGGCTTGGTCTTGCATTTCTACGAAACCAAGAACAAGACCAAGACTGTAATAATATCAGCAAGACCAACATCAAGACTGTACTCAATTGACAAGAACAAGACCAAGACTTTTTTAGCAAGACCAAGAACAAGAACAAGACTAGATTTGCAAGACCAAAACCAAGACCAAGACTGAGTTAGTAAAGCAAGACCAAGACCAAGACTGAGCTATCAAGAACAAGACTATGACCAAGACTTTGACAGTCTTGGTCTTGTTCTTGTTTTGCTCATCACTAATTCGTGTAAATTTTTATTTTGTTCAGTTCTACGAATTTCACTGTCATGACAATTTAAGTGATGTGCCACTTGGGTTATGGATTTTTAACTTTTCTTACGTTGTAATAGTCAAGTTTATAAAGATCATGTACACAAATTATTAAATTTAAAAGTAAAGATTTCATAAATGTATACTATTTTAATATTTATAGTAGACAGATTTCAAAATATTAATGCAAATACCTATAAATTATTTTCATTTACTTATTTCTTTGTTGTTACTTATGTTGTGCACGTTTTTTAAAAATGATAATAGTTCAGAAGAAACAACACTAAGACTATTAATCATTTACAATTAATCTATACTTAGAAATAATAGAAAAATAGCATATGTGATATTCTAACCTAAATTTACAAATATTAATATAAAATATTTGTAATAAAATAATTATTAAATTGATTAGATTATAATATATTTTAATAAATCATATTAATCCTTCAAATTTTTTTTAGAAATGTTTTATAAAGTACTTGATTAATTTATATTAATCCTTTTAAAGGATACTATAGTTTTGATTATAAGTATAAAAATATTACGAGATTTGAAAAAATTCAATTTAAGTTACTTATCAGTAATCTACAAATAAAAAACCCAGCACAGTGGGGTCGTGGCATAGTCGAGTCCAGTATAGATGATATCTGACAATGATTAAAATCACTATCATAAAAAACGCTTCGATGCAAATCTGTAGTTGGTGATTAATTAAAAAAAAAAATTTGTTAAAAAAGTAGGTCAAATGAGAGCTGAGAAAATAAATGATAGCTACAAAAAAAAAAACCACATAATAAAATAATATTAATATGAATTTCTTCTCACGAGAGGAGACTACAGTAATGGAATTCTTGATATTTATTGAAATTATTGAATCTAAATGAGATAAAAATCAAAGGAATTGAACATTTATTCTAACTAAAAAAGAGTTAAGAAAAAAATGCAAAAAATTCCTAGCCATACACGAGTTGTACCCCAAGCACGTAAAACACAAGATTACCGACTCGGCAATCGTACGTCGCTTCTGCCGACTCAAAAAAATGGTGCTTTAAACTAGTTCGAATTTTAATAGTAGTTTTCTCTACTTTTCTTCTACAAAAAAAATTAAATAAGTTTAGCTTTCTATGCTTCATTAATTATTTATTTATATTAAATTTATTAAAATCAGTGTACTCCCCTTGTCAGGTATTTTAAAATAAAATAAAATACAAAACCTAGATATTAACACAAAATGGCATATTTTTAATACGGTAGTCATTTTCACCATGAAAACAAATCCAGAGATCAATTTTTTTTTCAAATTAAAGTATATTACATTAGCTTTAATTTAAGGTATATATAAAATTGTCAGTCTTTCCGGAACATTTTCAAAAGTTGAAAAAATTGATTTTTTGTGAAAAAGTTGCCATTTTGAAACTCTTTCTGTGGGCTGGTAAGGGATCAAATGTTCACAAAAATGAATCAAAAGATAGATAAATACCTAAGGTATCTAAAAAAAATAATAAATATGATATAAAGTTATAAATATAATAAAAAATATGAAAATTGTTTTCAATTGTTGAGGGTAATGGCTTTGACTAGATATAATTTGTGTTCTTTTGAACGCATTGTTCATCAAAATCGGTCCAACAAATGCAGAGATTGAGCGTTAATAGACAAAAAAAAAATAATAAAAAAAAAAACATCATAATAAAATTAAAATCTTCTCAGCTTCGCATTGAAGCTAAAAGAAAAAGAACATGTTTTTTACAAAAATTCATTTTTATATTGTTAGACTTATAATGCTATAACTTTTTAAAAATTATATGGATAAATACAATTTATAAACCTTTTTCACTCATTATACTTTTTTTTAAATAATATCATTTCCCTTTACACATTATATTATATATATATATTCAGATATTACACTTATAAAACATAAAACTTGTAATCAAGATATAAATAAGGAAATAGAGATCATAAAGCTTTTGGAATAATCCATCAATTTTTAAAATAAAACACTATCTACAGTATTTTTATTATTTTTATCTTTTGAACTTAATAAATTAAATAATAAAAATAGAAAATTAAATTTTTATACTCAGTGTTAATATTGATTCAGTTTAGTATTGTTCACTTTTCAAAATTACTATCAATCTGTAAAAAATAGTTACTAACAAATAATCGTCAAGCTAAATTTATAAAAAATTATTTTTATGACCTACTTTCATAGAAAATTAACTTATATATAGCTATACACAATACCGATCGCGTAATTAAATCAAGTTTTCATTTTTCATGAATTGTCATTTATTTAATATTTAAATTAAAGCAGTGAAAAATGATTTTTAATCTTTTTATCAGTATTGTATTTGTGGTGATCTGGGATACAATGCAAGTTAATACATGTTTTTCTAGAAAAGTTCCGTGTACAGATCCAGAACTTGAAAGAGCAGTCAATCTGATTACTGGATTTGAATATCCTCAGAAAAATGATTTCCCTAAATTAAAATTTAATACTGTAAAGAAACTATTAAATATAGATTCATTACCAAAAGAAAGTGCAATAAACAATAACATTGATTTATTATACTGTGATTTGGCGTGTGGTAATATGCATTTACTTTTAAGTTATTTTAAAACGTGTAAAGATATAAATTCATGTTATTTGAGCGAAAAAGTTACCAAAAGCATGTTAGCTTCACTTTTCAAAATAAATAAAACAATATATGTAAGGCCGTTTTGGGAAGTGCATATGTTTTTGATGTATTGCTCATTGTGCTTTAGAAATAGAATTCATATGGATCCTGAAATGATATCTTCGCCCATATATATATTAAAATATTCAATTACAAAATGGTGTAGAGAAGGCAATAGGCCTGGTATGATAGTGAATGGTAACAATAACAATGATTGGAAAATATCTTTAAAAAACATCAACCATATGATAATAGAAACACAAAATCATAATAACTTTCTATTGGAAAACGAAACAGAAAAAAATTGGGTCTCCTTAAAAAGTATTTACTTATATAAAATAAAGGACGAAAATACTTTGAAATACATAATTATGAATTTTGGTGAACAAAGCGAAATAGTTTTTAAAGAAATATACAAAGAGCTCAAAAAAAGTTATAATGAAGCTTTGAATTATTATTATCTAGAGCTTTGGACGGAAAATTTAGGAATTTATCAAATAAAAATGTTAAATGTTATAAGAACAGTAGCATTACATTTAATAAGAAAGCACATGGTTATTGCTAATAAATATTGGCAAATAAATCGTAAATTGTTTGCAAATATCAATGTAAGTAATACTGATGTGAAAAATTATCTTTTAGGTAATAAATTCTTTAAAGAACTATTTAGGTTTAATTACAATGAAATTATAGAAGTTTTAGAAGATTCCACTAAAAAACCACTGGTTGAAAAAGGTGTTAATTTAACACTTAATAAAGCAATTATATATATTCAACAAATTATGAAAACTGTGTTACCAAAATTTGTTCCTATAAATTACAATGAAAGAATGGATGATGAAAATTTAGAACGACTAAGCTCTGAAAAGAAAAATCCTAATAAGAATGACTTAGATCAAATTACAGATATAGCTTCGAAAACACTAAGTGAAAATGTAGAGAATATCAAATCGTATATAAACTATTTAGACGATTTATTCTATGAATATAATATTGAGACTATTGTTTCTTATATAGAATCATATGATATAGCTGAAAGTACAGATGATTATGATTATCGTAATAAAATTCTCATACAATTTGATTTGTAACAAAACAATATAACTTTTGTTAATTTATTATTTCAATACTTATTTGAAATTTTATAAAAATAAAAAGTTAAATATGTAATATATGTTTTGAAAAAAGCTGCAAAAATTCTTAAATTTTTATTATTATTATAATTTATTTATATAAGAGGGGACTAATTTGAGTACCTATCCTCCCTGTCCTCCTTAATATAAGTATAAATAATTGACAAAAAAAAATTATTGTAAAAAATTATAATAACATGAAAAACTGATATTTTTTACACAATTGCTATTTTGAAATTCCTGTGAGCAGGTAAAGGATAAAATTAAAAAAAATACATACCTAATGAAATTTGTTTTGATTCATCTATTTTTTAAAAAGCTACGACAGATTAAAGAAAACAAGTTTTTTAAAAATACCGATTTCAAAAAATTTTTCAAAAAACTTTTAGTTTGACTACCCCTTGATGGCAAGTAAAGGTTCATAAAAATGATATCAAACAATTGGGAAATAAATTTGAATATAAAAAATTGTTCATTTTTCAAAAAGTTATTGCAATTTAATGTTGAAAAATAAAATAAAAAGATTTTAATTTATGATTAGTGTGTTATTTAACTACAGCAGACATTTGCACATAGGAATTAAGTCATCGAGATGATTTTTTATTTTTAAATTTGTATCACGTACATAATCTTTCATTTTATTGGAAAAGTTAACTTTTCGTGCCAAAGTTGCTATTTTGAATATTCACCTGTAGGCAGATAAAAGGTAAAATGAAAATAAAATACTTAAGGTATTTATATAAGGAATAATTATTCAGAGCTATGACAGTTGTAAGAAAATTTTAAATTTTTATGTAGAAATTTACCGATTTTAAAAATCGTAATTTTTTTTGGTGGTTTACCCGGACAAGGTAAACATTACCAATTTTTGTGGGCAAGTTATCAACTAGATACAATTTATTATCATTTGATGAATTGTTGAGAAAAATTGGTCTAGTAAGTATATTACGATTACATACAATGTCTTTGGTACAATCTCAAATTTGTTAAATCATTCAAAATTCAAATATTATAACTCATTACTGGTCTATTAGTTAATAGTTCTATGTTTTATATAGCTTCTCAATTTTTATGCATTAAAATAGCTTCTTAATGGTAAATATTTTTTTAACTTCTTAAAAAAACCGTCTCATTCGTAAAACTTAATAAAAATGGAAATTTAGCTAGTTCAAATTTTAAAGTTATTTTTCTTGACTTCAAAGAAACAAAAAAATTTATATATGATTAATTCTTTTTACTATGTCATTTAGATTGATATAATATTTATGAAAATTAGTGTAATCCCCTTATAATATAACATAAAATACAAAACCAATAAATTTAACACAATTATAGCATATTTTTAAATACGATAGCTATTTTCACCATGAAGATAAAATAAAGTCCAAAATTTTTTTTTTATATTAAAGTATATTACATAATCTTTAATTTAAGATATATATAAAAGTGTCAGTATTTCCGGAACATTTTCAAAAATTAAGTTGAAAAAGTCAATTTTTTGTGAAAAAGTTGTCATTTTGAATCCCCCCTGTAGGCAGGTAAAGAGTCAGATTTATAAAAAAAATATACCAAATGATAGGTAATGATATGCACTTTTATGTTTTGAACTCCCTCTGTATAAAGGGAAATGGTCCAATTTAAAAAAAAAGTTAGTCGAATTAAAGAAAAATATAAATATTATTTCTCATATAAAAATTGTATTTATCCATACATTTTTCAAAGAGTTATAGCGTTATAAAGTTAAAAATATGAAAAATAATATTTTTACAAAAATCGTATTTTTTTTTTATAAACTTTGATGACTGTTTTCATCATGGAAACAAAATAAAGTCTGAAATTTATTTTTTCCATAATAAAGTATATTACATTTTCTTTAATTTAAGTTATATATAAAAGTGTCAGTATTTCTGGAACACTTCCAAAAGTTAAGTTAAAAAAGTTAATTTTTTGTGAAAAAGTTGTCATTTTGAATCCCCCTCTGTGGGCTGGTTAAGGGTTAAATTTATAAAAAAATATGTCAAATGATAGGTAAAGACATCAATCATCTATAAACAAAAAAAATTATATTGATATGTTCATTTATGAAAAAGTTATGGCTGTTTTTAGTAAATAAAGTTAAAAAAATTTCGAAAATTAGTGATTTTTAAATTTGTTATTTTTTTGGAGATTTCACCCATTTACGAGGAACGAGTGAAATTTTTTCAATTTTTGAAGGTAATGTCTTCGACTAGATACGATTTGTGATCTTTTGACGTATCGTCGAAAGAAATCGGTTCGGTGAGAGTTGAGAAAAATTGGTAACAGACACAAAAAAAAAAATAATAAAAAATAAAAAAAAAATTACATCATAGTAAAATTAATACCTTCTCAGCTTTGCATCCAAGCTAAAACCAATAAAAAAAAGAAATTAAAAAGATTTACTCAATTGTGAGCGTATTATTAAAATTGGTTATAATTGTAAAAATCCATTGTTAAATTCAGGTTTTTTTTTAATTTATAATTTATATAGCAACATGCTACAAAAAAAATTGGAATATTATAGTCTGGTAGTAGCACACACAAATGGAGTTAAAAAATTAGAAAAGTACAAAGTAAAATTAATTACTTTTGTAGTTGAATACTTTTATCATATCAAATCTAATTCGAGAATAAATACTTTAAGAATATTAAAAATTAATGATTTTAATTGTTTGTATGGAAAAAGATGGTTAAGCTACTTTTTATTTGAATAAGGAATATTTTTTCGATTTTTAAGAGTAATAACTTAAACTAAATACGAATTTTAATAATTTGATGTATCGCTGAAAAAAGTAGGTCTAGTGAGGATTGGCAAAATAAATCGTAGCCACAAAAAGAACCACATAGTAAATTAATATTAACATGATTATAAATTTGTTCTCACGAGAGGAGACTATAGTGATAGGATCCTTTATATTTATTGAAGTTATTGAATATAAATTAGATAAATATCAAATGATTTGAAAACTTAATTCTAACTCAAAAAAAATGCAAAATTTTGTTGGCCATAGACGAATGAATTTGAACCTCGAATCCTAGACATGTATTACACAGGTGTTGCCGACTCGGCAACAGTACGTTGCTTTCGTTACATGAAAAAATTGGCTATTTAAGCTGACTTAAATTTAAAAATTACTTTTTCGATTTTAAAAAAGTAAAAAAATTTAATTAGTTTAATTTCTTATGTCTTATGAACTTTATTCTATGTCAATTAAATTATATAATATTCATGAAATTCAATATATTCTCCTAATAAGATATTTTAAAATAAAATAAAATACAAATCCTAGAATTTTAATAGAAAAATAGCTTATTTTTGAATACGATAGCCATTTGCGCATAGAAGATAGGTCGTCGGGACAAATTTTTTTTTTCATTTTATAGTACATAAAATAATCTTTAATTTGATATATGTTTAAAGGACGCAGTATTTCCGAAACATTTTCAAAAAAGTTGAAAAAGTTAGTTTTTGTAAAAANCGCTCATGATTTTATAAGTATACGCAATAACAGAAAAACAAAGAAGTGAGTATACGCCGTATACCCGCGTATACGCTCCACGACACCTCTGGATAGGATCCTTTATATTTATTGAAGTTATTGAATATAAATTAGATAAATATCAAATGATTTGAAAACTTAATTCTAACTCAAAAAAAATGCAAAATTTTGTTGGCCATAGACGAATGAATTTGAACCTCGAATCCTAGACATGTATTACACAGGTGTTGCCGACTCGGCAACAGTACGTTGCTTTCGTTACATGAAAAAATTGGCTATTTAAGCTGACTTAAATTTAAAAATTACTTTTTCGATTTTAAAAAAGTAAAAAAATTTAATTAGTTTAATTTCTTATGTCTTATGAACTTTATTCTATGTCAATTAAATTATATAATATTCATGAAAGTCAATATATTCTCCTAATAAGATATTTTAAAATAAAATAAAATACAAATCCTAGAATTTTAATAGAAAAATAGCTTATTTTTGAATACGATAGCCATTTGCGCATAGAAGATAGGTCGTCGGGACAAATTTTTTTTTTCATTTTATAGTACATAAAATAATCTTTAATTTGATATATGTTTAAAGGACGCAGTATTTCCGAAACATTTTCAAAAAAGTTGAAAAAGTTAGTTTTTGTAAAAAAATTTCTATTTTAAATCCCCCCCAATGAGCAGGTTAAGTGTTAGATTTTCAAAAAATTAATATCAAATGAAAGGGAAATATCTAATGTTTTAGTATAAAAAAAAATAATGTTGATTTGTTGATTTTTGAAAAAGTTATGGAAGTTTGAAAAAATTTAAATGACAAAATTTACCGATTTTTAAATTTGTAATTTTTTTGGATATTTCCCCCATTTGCGGGGAACGAGGGAATATTTTTCAATTTTTAAGGGTAATGTCTTCAACTAGATACGATTTGTGATCTTTTGACGTATTTTTGAAAGAAATAGGTCCAGTGAGAAATGAGAAAAAGTGGCAACAGACATAAAAAAAAAAACACATTATGGTAAAATTAATACCTTCTCAGCTTCGCATCGAAGCTAAAAAACATATACATGTTAACTGAATACAGTCTGTAGGATTGGTTAAACTGCCATTAAAACTATGCTCTTTTATTATCATTGAAAATTACTATTTCTATAATGTTTGAATTACAATATCATAACAAATTGAAATTGTTGGTTTAATAAACCTACTATAATATTGCATAACATTATTTATTTTATATTATTATTACAATTTTGANTAATATCAAATGAAAGGGAAATATCTAATGTTTTAGTATAAAAAAAAATAATGTTGATTTGTTGATTTTTGAAAAAGTTATGGAAGTTTGAAAAAATTTAAATGACAAAATTTACCGATTTTTAAATTTGTAATTTTTTTGGATATTTCCCCCATTTGCGGGGAACGAGGTAATATTTTTCAATTTTTAAGGGTAATGTCTTCAACTAGATACGATTTGTGATCTTTTGACGTATTTTTGAAAGAAATAGGTCCAGTGAGAAATGAGAAAAAGTGGCAACAGACATAAAAAAAAAAAACACATTATGGTA